GCAAATATATATTATAATTATGGAACTATTTGTGAGGATGTTTATTTAACTGATCAATTAAACCTTAGCCTAAATATCTTGAATTTTGGATTCTGGGTCCATAGTTATATAGAGAAACAAGTATTTGAACGATTAACTGTTCAGGGCACCAAATACAACAGGTGGTACAACAGTTTATTACCGACGCGTTTCGCTCTATGGACCGTAGTATCATCAGAGCAAGGTTCTGTTATGTCAGCCTATTATCATACATTACAGAACTATCAACGGCGATCACGAAGTATTCGCAACAGTTTATGCTTCACCTGTATAATGGTGAATTCATAGGGCATGCAAGTGGTGACGGACGGAATGTTCATTTCGGCCCATTTTCAAATTTTTCCGTTGAGTGTTATTTGGATTTTTCTTTCAGTGGAGAGCCTAGAATCGTAACTTCCTATTCTATACGACCTTTCAAATCGATCAGACATCACGAGTAAAAACAAATTTGTTGTTGAAACTTTGTCAGTCGTAAAAGGATGACGGGTTTATATCCAAACGGCGGTTGAAACTGTTCCACTGAGAGGTATGACCTGCAGAAGTTTACCATTTGGACCTCTGCTACGGCAATGAAGGTTGCCTAATATCAATCCCAGATATCATTTCTAAAGGTCATGTGTCATAACTGTGGGTTACTTTGTTGCTTAAGCTCTGCTAGACATTGCTCATGATGACAAATAACAGCAACAACAGTCTTAGAATACGATAGCAACAAGTACATGTCATGGAAATGTCGCAACGATTCAAAAATTATATGTATATGAAGACCAAACATTTTAGGCCATTACTGACTGGTAAAATTTCAAACTAAACGGTTCAGGTCGTCTTCAAGGCTTAACGATGAACTGTTGGGTGTAAAGTCAACTAATTTGAAACTGAAGTTAAACATTAGAAGTCTATATGCGCCACGGATTCTTCAGTCTGAACAATAAGTCACACATTACGCCTCTTTACCTAATAATACCTACCTAATCTAAAGCTTTCGCAACTCAACGAAGTACGGGCAGGGGGAGTACCTCCTAATGTTCCAATTCCTCCAGTTGCACAACATCACTTTTCTGAGCCTGAGTGAAGGAAACGTGCGGGTGACCGAGTGGGGCTGTTTAAAATCCGGATATTTGAGTTGAGTGGCAAACCAGGTAGATACTGTCCAAAAACAGACAGACTTCGATCACAGAATCTACGCAAGAGAGTAAGAAAACACAGCCAACGTAAATGAATTTCATATAGATCGACGTTACCTAAAGCAGCAACGACTGAAGCAGGAAAAGAAATAATCGGCGAGAGACAGAACCCTCCAATACTCAGTCCTGTGAAAGAACCTTCTAGAAGGTCCTATGAATTACAGTCCATCACAGTTGATAGCACTGCGGCGACTGCAGTATAGGAAATTCCTTTATCATGGGAACTACCGTCTGAAATACAGACAAGACTCACGTGCTGACCAGAAAATGGATTCGGACGAATTTACTGGATAAAATGAAGAAACGCGTCCGGATTGTTCCGTCCGTAGTGTCGGATTAAAAACCGAGAGATCACCAGTTCGATCCCCGGTTGGAACACTTGCCTTTCTTCCAATGCAGATAAATAAGTACCACTCTATGGAACGAAGTGTGAGACACTGCTACTTTGTTTCTGCTTTTCAAATAAAAGGAAACGGAAGATTTTAACCGTAAAAGTATCTTATATTTACATGATAAAGCTAATTCTAGCACCCTTGTTTTCATGAAGTTAGTCACGAGGACACATTTTCTGTCATCATCCTCGAATGTCTGATTTTTTAAGGCAGAATTGACAGCAGTATGTGACAAGCATAGTCTGTATACTCCCATTTGTGTCCCATTCATTCATCTGAGTGGTACTCATTTAGCAACTTTTGGAGGAAGAAAGGCGAGTGACCCGAAAGTGGGATCGAACCCGTGACTTCTGAGTCCGACGCTCCATCGACTAAGCAACCGCCTCTGAAGCAGTGCGTAGTAAATTCCTTGCTCAAGGGAATTGTAGTAAAGACAGAATTTTCTGCTGCGGAAACCGAACTGGATATCTCCAGAGTTCAAGTTCAAAGCCAATCACCTCATGTCCTACGGCAAGGTGTCACCTTAAAAAAGCTACTTCCGGCAATTGGCATGAAAATGGAGATCGGTATCGGAAATGGCCCCATCATTCAGAAACAGAGAAAGAATATTGAGTACGATATCGGACGAAGATTCAACGGCACAATTCATCTGCATACTACCCAAAAACTTTGTAAATCAGTAATCTTTTAAAAAAGGTTCAACGCTTTTAAAAAGGGATATTTATTTTGCACAGAGACTTGCTACTAGATCAGGTAAATTAGTTCGCGATGAAATGCCCCTACCTGACAAGGATCCATTGCTAGAATTTCACTGCTACTTCGTACATATATTACTTAAGATTTCAAATACCTTGCGATGGGATGTACTAAGCAGGTTCTATCTATTATAGAAAAAAAATGAACTTGCCTTGCGTTGTGTGTGAAAAGGTAAGTGTTTACTAACTGAACTAATCTTGAACCCTCGGAATCCAATCTTCCTTAAGAAAGGTAAGATTGAAAAAGAATGTTGAGTCATTTCACAGAAAAAAAGTGTTGCAACTTTTGTCCTTTGCCAATACGCTCAGTGTGGAATCAATGCCGATATTTTTGACTCAAAAAATGATCGAAGCTTCTTTGATAATAATGACGATGACAAAACAACACAGCATATCACAAGTAAATCTTCGCTCAGATATTGGAGATGATAGCTGAACAATACTGACACTAAATTTAAACTGTGCAAACGTACAAAAACATTGAACAGCAGAAGCGGTTTATACAATGAAACTGGGTTCTACTGTAGTACAGCATGTTGTACCACGCTTTCATTCACAGGATGCATCTATACGCATCTTGCGTATTTTTCAGTAATCCATTTTACGCTGCTAACTATGGCTGTAGATCTGTCATAAATATCTGTTAATTTGCTTCAAATTGAACTTATGAAACAGAATTTTGTCTCATTTAAACTATTAGAATTAGGGGTCATTTGTATCACTGGCACCCTTCTCCTTTTCATGAAGTTCATGATACCGCGCTGATTTCTATTTATGTGCCATCAACCAGGAGAGCTATATTGTAACGGCATAGTCCATGGGTATATGGCCTTACATGTAAAATGGTTAATATCTCTTATGTATATGTGTTTGTGTGCTCTCTGTGTTAAATTCGAAGAAATTGCGGCTGATCTTACTCTTG